CCCCAAAACCCCAAAACCCCAAAACCCCAAAACCCCAAAACCCCAATGCTAGAGAATACATATTGAATTAATAACATTTTCATAAATCAATAAATCAAATGATGTTATCATCTTCAACAAGGCTTAATTAAATATTTCTTCATATTGGATTTCACTCCAATCAGCTTTCCATTGTCAAATCTAACTAACTCCTTATCTATAAAGTTTTTCTTTAATGGCATCAACTCTAATATCAATTGAACTTCTTCATCCGTAATTACATTTTAATCACCAAAGAATATTTCAATATAATTATCCTAATTCCAACTTTTGTCAACTTTGATTTCAATCTTCTAATTAAAGCTTACTTCCTGGTTCTACAAATTGCTTCTAGTTTAAAAAAACTGAAAGGTATCATCAGGGTATCTAACAACTATTTAATTGTTGACATTCTCTCTTTGATTAGACATGTTGCCCTAAATTGTCATGAATTCAGAGTGCTTGTAGGATATCTAATGAACTTCATTGTGAGTGTTAAGTGGATGTGTTATCAGAATATCTGAGTATCTCAGGATATCTAGGTCTGGTTAGTTTATATTGATTTAGTCTAGGATTGTATTCATAGTAATAGTTTATTCAAAGCTCTTCAGTTTTCCAATTATTGTATTTCTCCATTCCTTGGCTCTAAGCTGAGACTTCTGTTATATTACATTGATTTTTAAGTAGGAGATAATTGGATCTGTAGTAGCTTATTGATTATTTATTTTTTCAGAGAAGGCTATTATGTTCTAGCACAAAGTAATGAATTCATCCTCATAGAAGAAATCACTTAGCTTAAATCTGTCAAGGTGTTCTACAATCAGTTGAAGGTATAATTTCAATGAGCTAATTTCAAGTAATTCTTTAAAGGGACCAGGTAATTCTTAGAAATAAAGAAGCATTTTCATCTTTAAATCAATTGACTTTAGCACATCATTTTATCTAAAGCAGGATTAGATAAAGCTAGCTAACAAGTTAAAGAAAGCAAGTTAATGATCAATTGTTGATTTTGAATTCCTAGTTAACATTTTTAATTGGGATTTAACCTATTAAAGTGAATTCTCAGTAAGTTTTTTTGCCATCTAAAAATTTGATGATTTTATATACTTAATAACTTAGATTATTGTAGGATCTAATGACACTATTAAATTTTGATGAGCTTAATTATCATTATTCTAAATAGCCATCTCTATTGGTTTTTAGTCCTAAGTCTATAATAAGTAATATTCTTTATATTAGTCTTTCAAGTAATTTAGAGACTTCTCGACAAATTATGGGACATCATTGAAAATACTAGGAATTTCAAGACTCGCAGCGTAAATAAGAATCATATTCGCTATATAAATAACATCTGTCCAGATAGGATCGATTGCTTAAAATCTCTTGTCTATTCCAAGAATCTTGAATACAAGACTTGAAACCAGCTAGCTGTGAGTCTAGCCAAGTTTCTATAATAATCTAAATATCTGGTTCTAGTCTTTACTTCCAAATACTCTTAAATTTTCATGAAGTTTCTAAAAAATATTAACTATACTCTATAATCTTACATAAAGCAACTTAAGGAAGAGATCACTCTTGCTAATAATAGTGCGCCCGAAAAATAAATAGATTTCATCTCTAAGTCTCTGATTATCCTCATTTAAGTTGAAAAGAACAATGTTGACTTCATATTCATTGAGTTAAGATACATCATTAAAGTTAGCTATACCATGAAGAGCACCTATTCTAACTTCATCTATCTCATCATTCAGCATATCAATCAGAAAATTCAAGCATTTTTACCTTTTAAATAGATTAATAAATTTGTATACTTACCTTATTTCCTGTGCTTTTTAAGCTAATTTACTCATAAGGTCAATACCCGAAATTCTAACGCTCATCGAATCATCCTCTATTAGCAAAAGGAAAATTCCAACAATTTCTGGGTAAATTTACTAGCCATCATGACTTCCCTTATTTTTATTATTCTATACCTGAGGAGCTTATCTTTATTGCTAATTTTACTGACCAACTGCAACAAATTTTTATTAGAATGTGCTCTCCTTTTCGGCCATTTGTATAATCAAATTGACAGGCATATCCTTAACCTCAATAAGCATTTTTGATAGAAAATTCCTTAAATCTTTATTCATAGCTCTGATTTCCTTGCATATATCCTTTACGATTTCTGTAACATAACTATCTCTATCGTTAAATGACACCTATCTCATATATTAGTCGAAAAGGTTAAATTTTACAGTTAAATCTTCTTTCATTAAATTGCACAGTTTTACCTTTAGCTAATAGTGCAGCTTTCTAACAGAATTTTACTTCTCCTATTTAGTGTTAGCAGTTAAATCATGAAACTAAATTCTTTTATAATAACGGCATAAAATTTACATCAAAGAGCTTTGTTTTGTAGATAATTTCAATATTCTTGATTATTTGTCTATAAAACTCTTCTCTCATTAAATGCTCTTGATCATCATGAACTTGTTTCAAAAGTATCTATACAGATTATTAAGTTAAATCAATTTACTCCAATCCTTTATTTCATCTCTTTTTTGTGTTAGTAATTAATTAGTAACCAAAATAACCCTTTTAGAGATAAAATTCTTTCAGGTAATATCTAGCTACTTATTAGTTTTTCTAGAATTTGTTCATAATCAAATACTGTATCTTTATTCAATAATCTATTCTTTTAAAGCATTTTTCCGATCCTTAAGACAACCAGGTTATTCCATTTTGTATCTCTAAACTAGTTTCATTTCACTAATTCCACATTTTATTGGAAAATTTGAGTGATTTATTGTTGACATAGTTAATCAGCTTTCACGAGGTTTAATTTTAAATATGATACCATTTCATCTAAAATTGAAGCCTGAAATTATAAGAATTAAAAATACTTTGAAGTTATCTAGTAGCTAATGAATATAATTATTCATTCCAAAACTTAGATCAGTCTCCTAACTCTGGAAATTTGTTAGATATTCAAGTATAAAAATAGTCTACTAATTGTTATAACTATTATGAGTTTGTAGTGCCTGATTCAAATTTTAAATCACCAGTACTATAGCCTAAACGTTAAGTTTAATAGTCTTATAAAATTACATCTTCAATTTAAGTAAGATCTTAGTTCTGATTTTAAGTTAAACTCAATTAATTAAGTTAAAGGTAGATTTCTATTATCTTATTTGAGCAGGTTTGAATTTTGACTTAATCAGGAGTCAAATTTAGAAATTTAATAACCATTCCATCATTTTATTCATTGCACTTGAGTCTTTTGCTTGCTTCATTATCCTTTATCTCTTCTTAATTATGTTTACTAGAACTTTATTATCTTTCTTTATTTTATCTTTTTCTCAGAACTCTAGTATTAGACATTTATGAACAAAAATTAATTAATTATAAAGCACTTTTAATTAATTTATAAATGATGATAAAAGGCCGTGGGGTTTTGGGGTTTTGGGG